CACACCCCACTCTCCATAGCCGGGCGAGGCAGACCTGGCCGTGCAGCCCTTGCCTTCCTTCCGCCGGAGCTTTACCTGGTGGCCGGGGGAAAGCGGCCGTAGACCTTTTAAGGCTCGGAAACGAGTGAGGCGTCCGGCCCCTCAATGTAGCTGAGTGACGGGAAGCTTTTCCAATCGGGAGCTCGAGATCTGCGAGCAGTGACAGCCGCAAGGGGACAATGGGTGGGAGCGAGGTAGGCCGGGCTGGGCGGAGCCTGCGGGAGGTGAGGCCTGGTTGGAGCGGTACTGGTTCGCAGAGAGGCCCTGGGGAGAAGGCTACCTTCCCGGATGGGGGGTGGGAGGTGAGCATGGAGCCCTGACTTGGAGGGGAGGCAAAGAAACGTATGAACGCGCTGATTCGCGTTTTTTCTGCCCAAATAAAGCTTTCACTTGAAGGATTTACACTGCAGTGATTCAGAACATAAAGATCATTACCTTTTTGCCCTCTGGAAGCAAGTTTTGGGAGATGCCATTGTTCTCAGGCTTCCCAGACTGGCGGGGGGCCTGGGCCCCAGGTCGGGTGAGGAGTGGGGAAAAGAGCCAGGAAGAGAGGGAAGGAGAGAAGCGGAAATTGCAGGTGTCTAAAACGGTGGGGCCCCCACCCAGTCGACTTAAGGAAGTTCAAAGAGACAAATTCATGGTCTGAAATCTCCCTCTTTAAATGTGTAAATGTATTGAAGCTAAGAAAAAACTAGTGCTCAGATGACCTGCAAAACCGCTTGCAACAGTTATCTAGTATGTATAGATAGCAGTTAAGAGAGTGCAGACCTCTTATTTATTGTGTCAACTCCACCGTGGCCTCATTGATTTTTTTCCAACAAATCTTTGCTGAGCATCAGCTAGGGGCCTGCATGAAGCATAGTCGACAGGAGCTGCCAGAGTTCAGCCTCAAGTTTTCAGGAGGATTCTGTATTTCAGTAGCAGGCACAAAATGATAACTCACCCTTCGCGCACCTTATCTGTTCTGTTTGGTGGATACAGTGCCTGGATCACAAGACTATTCCACAAATTACTTTTTGAGAACTGGCATTTAGATAACAGTAGACCTGAAAATGAATTTCCAGTGACCAGTTCAATTTCAGTGTTTTTTATCTCCCCCCCCCCAAGTGTCCCATCATCACAGATTCACAGTAGGCTGGGTGGATGAACAAATTGATTGGGGTTTTATTTTTGAGATGTTAAAGTCAACTTGCTTTGACTCCTGAGTAAATTGTTTTAGGGAGTGACTCATGAAAATGACTAATATTTCAAAAGTTATTCTTTGTAAAGTTCTTTTTAGTGTTGTAGTAGGCACAGAAATTTAACAGAAGATATTAAGCTTGGGCTGGCAGGTGGCTGAAGGCACTGGACTCCCACATGGCTGACAATAGTTCAAGTCCTGGACCTGGTGACTTGCTTTCTCACTTTCTCTCTCTCTCTCTCTGATCAAACTGGAAAATAATAGTAAATAAAGTTAAATAAAATCATTCTTTTAAAAAAAGACACTAAGTTAAAGAAACCTATTCTGAAATGGAAATCTATATTTTTTTAATGTCTCAAATATATTTCTTTATAGAATATGAGGACCTCAAAAAATTAGTGGAAAATGGGATTACTGAATAATTGATTTAGGCATAGTTTTTTCATAGTACTCATTTCCATTAATTTTTGAAGACTCCCCGCCCCTATATATGCCATTTGTTTTTTAGGAAATTAAGGGATTTCTCCATATAAATAAATTGCAGAATTACTTGAGAAAGTAATTTTTTTTTTCTCACGCACTAATTTATTTCTTTTTTTTAAGAGATCTTTTACTTGGGGGTCAGCAGTTAGTGTAATGGCTATGTCGCTGGATTCCCATGAAGTCGACCGTGGTTCTAGTCCTGGACCTGGTGGCTTAAACTCACACCTAACTTGTGTGCCCAGGATCTCAAGAGGAGAAAAGAGGAGAGGGGATTGCGGTGTGGCCATCCCCCCTGGTTGGGGTGATTTCTCGCTTTCTGTTTCTCTGTCTCTCTCTGGCGAGCGAGTGCACACACCCTGTGAAAAAAAGGAAAAAAAAAAGCCACAAAAACAAAAACAAAGAAACCTCTAAAAAAAAAAAAAAAAAGATTTTTTTACTATAGGGTATGTGCGCTGGCTGGAGAAACAGAAAGACAGAAAGTGAGAAATCTCCCCACCCCCTCCCCGGGGGTTTGGCCACACCACAATTCCTTCTCCTCCATTCTCCTCTCAGGACTCTGCACACATACACAGGTACCCTTGTGAGTTTCAAGCCGGGTCCAGCACTCGAAACCAAGATCCCCATGGGGAAGTCCAGTGACATAACCATTACGCCATCTGCTGATACCAGTAATGCATTTCTTAGTGAAACAATAGGTTTACATAGGCCGCAAAGAACATATTCACACAATAAAGATATAATGAGATTTTAGGGAAGATAGGGAATATCCTGAAAGTCTCAAGTGAAAAGTATTTTGGAGAATAAGGAATAACCTATGGGGCCAGCTCCAGGGTGCAGTACTGATAGGTTACTCAAGAATTGCCAGATCTCACGTAGCAACTACAGTTCTAGTCCCAGGCCAGGTAAGCCTGAAACACACTAGGCACACTCCAGCATCCAGGATGCAACAGTCTGGAGGACTGGCGCAAGAGATTGCAATGTGACTGGACCCTGTGGAGGGAGTTCATCTCTTTCTCTCACCTATGTTCTTTTTTTTTTGGAGAGGTTTTTTTCTATAGGGCGCGTGGGCTCGTCAGACAGAGACAGAGAGAGACAGAAAGCAAGAAATCACCCCCCAGAGGGGATGGCCATGCCGCAATCCCTTCTCCTCCATTCTCCTCTTGGGATCTTGGGCACGCAAGCACACGTGCCCGGCATGAGTTTTAAGCCATCCGGTCCGGGACTCGAACCGCGGTCGACTATGTGGGAGTCCAGCGACATAGCCATTACGCTAACTGCTGGTCCCAAAATGTTTTTCTTTTTCAGAGGCATGCTAGAGCATGTACATGAACATAGGTGAAAGAGGGACCAGCAGTTAGCGTAATGGCTATGTCGCTGGACTCCCACATAGTCGACCGCGGTTCGAGTCCCGGACCGGATGGCTTAAAACTCATGCCGGGCACGTGTGCTTGCGTGCCCAAGATCCCAAGAGGAGAATGGAGGAGAAGGGATTGCGGCATGGCCATCCCCTCTGGGGGGTGATTTTTCGCTTTCTATCTCTCTGTCTCTGCCTGTCTGTCTGGCGAGTACACGCGCACTATAGCAAAAACCTCTCAAAAATTTTTTTTTAATAAAAGAAATAATCTACAGTAAAACATGGCAGAATAAATAGAACTTATGAACTTGAACTTTGGGAAAATTACTGGAAACTTTCACTTGTAACCTGACCTGTTTTGTTTTCTTCACTCTTCATCTCTTACCTGGATCAAGTTGGTTAACCTTTGTGCCTTGACATCCACATCAATAAAATACGGTAATAAAAAACACTCATGACGTGGTGCTGAAGATTAAATGAATATATATATGTATATGTGTATTTACATTTGTTAGCACCATTCTTTGCAGGGAGTAACTTCGCTATAGTTATTCTTTTGTCAGTAGCTGTCTCCAGTGGATGGGTATCTGTTCAAAGGCCTATGGAGATAAAACGAAACTATATTTTTAATGTGTCTTTTAAAAGCGTGAAGTATAAAGTTCACCCTGAAAATGCACGTTTGTGTTAGTCTGTTAGCACTAATGAGATTTAAGTGATGAGATGGTGACTATCACTCCATTTCTATATGGGGAACAGCAGTGATCTCTCCAGAGCTACGCTATTCACTAAAACAGGGACAGTTCAAGTACATTAGCATAAGTCCATCACTCCAACTGGAAGAACTTCTCAAAGAATGGACTCTATTGATGATGTGTCAGTTGTATGAGCTTCTAAATATAATCACAATTTAGTGAGACTATAACCTCACTTTGACATTGTGTTTTGATTAGAGAATTGCAGCACATTGCAAAGGGCTTTACACTCAGAACTGGGTCCAGATCTTGGTGTGTCATCCAGAGCTGTGTGACCTCAGGTTCTTACAATGGACATACTGATTTTTAAACCCAACAGATTATTGCAATAATTAATGAGAAAGTAAGGAGAGGACTGCACGTACTGCTCCAGACCATGATTACCGATTGTTGAAACAGTCTGGAGTTAGTGATATAGGCAGACCAGCTATTCACCAAACCCATTTCTCTCCTACCTGTACGCTACTGCCCAGGTTCCCTTGTGGTTACATGTGTCCCTGTGACTGAGTTCTAGCCTATAGGATATGACCAAAGTTATGTGCTCCATATATGAGCCTGATTCGGAAA